CTGCGGCTCGGGGCTGTGGGCGTGGTCCCCTCCACCAACCCGCGCGCCCAGAGGGGACCAGAGTTCTCCAGCTCCCCATAAGCCACGTGGCCCCCTGCCACAGCGAGGCACCAGTGCCACCCGAAAGTGGCAGCCGGCTGTCCCAGAACGCAAGAGATGAGAACTTGGAGAGCCCTCGCTGCACGCCCTGGCTTCTGGGGCAGTTGGGCAGTTGCACAATCTCCTTTCAATTATTCTCCGTAGAGTGTGTAGCAACCGGGCGAGAATTCCAGGACCTTGTACTTACTCGTACAAATCTGCCTTCTCGCTGTTTGGCTGCCGGGCCAGGCGTGGCTCTGTGGGCCCGGGGAAATGGGGGTGTGTTCGCGTCCAAGAGGGCGTGGCCCGCGTCCGCAGCCACCCTGCCCTGCTGGTGCAGTCTGCTGGCCCCAAACCGCAGCTTCTTCGGGAGCCCTGGACTGGGGCCAGAACACGGAGAAGGAAGCTCTGGTGACATTCTCGACATGGGCTTTGAGCAGCAGGCTTGGCCTACAGCAGTTCCAGCCAGTGATTTTTCTTCTTTTTTTAGTGGTGTTGGGAATTGGTATTTTTCTCTGAGTTACATCCCCAGCCCTTTTTATTTTGAGACAGGTGCTTGCTAAGTCACTAGGTTTCCCAGGCTGGGGTCGAACTTGTGATCCCCCTGCCTCAGCCTCCTGCGTAGCCTGGATTACAGGTATGCACTACCATGCTTGGCCCAGCCAGTGATTTTTTTGTGTAAGGAGCGTCAGAGGGTCCGCTCCTGATGACCCAGCTGTTAATTTTGGGCTATGCCTCTGGGTCAAGGAAGGGCATTGTCCTGCTCGCCCTGGGGCCAAAGGATGGTTGTCAGGACTGGCTGTTTTGAATGATGGAAATAAAGACAAAACTCCAAATGCAGCTGGCCTGCAGCCCCTGTCCTTTGTGCTTTCCCCAGGGAATGTGCTTGCCTCTTTCTCTGGGCCTCTCATTAAAATTTCAGAGAAGCCTCCTTTGCTATGGAGACACTAGTGTCCAAGCCTGAGAGATTGCTGGCTCCATAAGTAAATCTAGGAATTTAGAGTAATCCAAGTTTGGTGTCATCACAGACTTGGAAACTGTAATATGGTTTTTCTCCTGGATAACTTAACGGAGCCTCAAGTAAACACGTGAAAGTAAACAATTAGCCCCATGGACCGTCACCCGCCAAGCCCCTCCCGCAGCGGCTGGCAGAGCCTGGCCAACAATAACTGGAGCTCGCTCTCTCTCAAAGTGCTGCGGGGAGATAAGATCTTTGCAGCAGAGCAGGGACCCTTTGGATAACTGACGTCCAAAAACCTCAGTGGTCCCCTCAGCCCACTTTCCCAAGGCATAGTTTTATGACTTACTTCAAAGTAGCAGACATTCCACCCAACACATCCTTCCTCTGGCAGTGGAGCTGGGCGTAAGGGTGATGGCGGAAGAAACACAGGAGGCCTCTTTCCTATGGGCAAACTGCTACCAGTGGGCAGCCGTGGCTGGGTGCACATCCTCAGGAGCAGCCCTGCCCTCAGAGTGAGCCCTCCCCCACGCTGCCTGGGACTCGGGTCTGAAGAGTTCTCCGTGCTCAGGTAGTCACCCCACTTGTTCAGTTTTGGGGCTTATGGGAAAGGAGTCACCATCCAGAGGTCCTGAACCAAGTCCAAGCATTAGTGTAGGATTGGGGGTGTGAGGAAAACTTATAGAGAAATGGTCCCGGACTCACAGAGCACATGACAGTGAGGGCTGAGCCCCTGGCAGTAAAGTCCATGGAGAACGAGGGCAAATCCCTGGATTGATCTCTCCTCTCTGTCTGTCTGTGTCTCTCTCTCTCTCTCTCTCTCTCTCTCCCTCTCCTCTCTCCCTCCCTCCTTCCTTTCTCATCACTGGGGATTGAACCCTGGACCTTTACACTGAGCTACATCCCCAGCCTCTTTTTTGTTTATGAGACAGGTGTCTTGCTAAGTTGTTAATTTGCCCAGACTGGGCTCACACTTGGGACCCTCCTGCCTCAGCCTCCCACAGTGCTAGAATTACAGGTGTGCACCACTATGCCTGCCTTCAACCCTCACTGGAGCTGTGTTTCATTTGGGTTACTTTAGAAAACTGTGATGCTTTAGAGAGAAAGTCATTGCTAGCCTTATTCCTGGCAGGAAGCTGGCAGGAACCACCTTTTTCATGGTTATCTGTTAAGTCCTCTAGAGAACATCAGGCTGCCCAGAATCCATTGTCAGGAGTGAGTTCCTGCCAGAAAAGGATTCTGGAGGGAATGTGTCTCTTCCTCTCTGCCCAGTCAATAAATTTAACAGTTTTATCTAAATACAGTTAGCACTGTATAGTTTCTTTCAAGCAGGTACCCTTGACCATCTGCCTCAGATCCAGGCAAGGTTATGAAATAAAGCAGGGAAATCGTCTTGGGCTTTATGTTGGACATTACAGCTTTGTCTTTTTAACTCCTTTGTAGGTTTCCATGGATACTGACAACAAACTTTGTTTGGTCTAATGAGAAGTCTCATGCTAATAAAGGCAGGAGCTGCATTTGACAATACACACTAAAATCATTCTTCTATACTTAGCAATTAATTTGAAGGACACCCATTTGTAGAGATAATTTAAACAGAGCAGGTTTCTACCCCACATAATAACCCACATACTTCAGTGTAGCTAACAAGCCAGAGCTCCCGCCAGCCCTCTCTCTGCAAGGAACCACCTACTTTGGGTAGGGATGGAGGGGAGCAGAGAAGCCCAGGTGTGTCTTCCTCACATGAGAGATGAGACTAGTATTATCTGGCTGCTGTGGCTTTTCCCGCCCACCTTAAAGTGGACTGGTTATGGCCATCACACCGTGGCTCAAGGTTATCAGCTGCTCTTTCTAGCTCTAGCTCTATCCCAGCTGCTCTCCCTCCAACTGAAAGCCCCCGGCAGCGCCCATTTTTGTATGTTCTACCTTGTCACCTAGCTTGTGTGTCTCAGTGTGTCTTCCTGGGCTGGTCCAACTATGCACCTCTCTCCTGCCAGAGGGGAGGTCAGGGCCTGATGGAAGGAGGCCATCTTCTCAAGGGAACACAAGTCTGCCTCTTGGGCAGGGAGGGAGGGCAGGTTCCGCTGCGCTCAGCCAACAGCAAGTCTCCTGGTCCAGGGTTTAATGGAACTAGTTTTGTTTCCCTAGTGCCCACATACGCGCTTTCTCTGCCCCCTTCTCAAATGCTTGGCTCACACCCTGATAAAACCAGTGCCTAAGGTCCACTGCAAGCTGAACCTTGGAGTCCAGGGCTGGGGCCCTGGGAGATGTGGCGACGTATGTGCCACTGCCTCACGCTCGGGCGAGACAGCAGGGTGCACAGGCGGTGTTGGGGGACCATGCAGCTGCTTAGGATCCAATCCTCACCAGAGCTCTCAGATCAGGAAGTTGTGGGATTTGGACTTGGGATAGATACTCAAGGCCCTATTCTAAGACCAAGCCAAGTCCCAAGTCATCCACCAAGCCAGAGGGCCTTCTTATAGTAGCCTCAGTGGACTAAAAACAAAGTGCTAGAGCTCTGTGTAATTTATAAAATATTCTTTATTTTAAGGAACACAAATAGTAGTTTAAAAAACGAGCACGCGTGCACACACACACACACACACACACACACACACACACACACACTTCTTAAAAGCTAGTATAATGTTGTGACCTGGCTTGGAACCCATGTGATCGGGACAGTGGCAGAAGCTGCCTGCTGTGGCTTTGCTTGGTTCTCTGCACTGGCAGAGGCTTGGTAGGAAACGGAAGCAGCACTGGCCCAGCTCTCTGGCCAGTTGCTTATAATCAAGAACAGTTTTGGGGTTTACGGAAGGAGTAACACTGATGCTGCCAATATGTCATCAAAAGATTATAATGTATCCATTCCAGGGAATGTAAAAATGCTTTAAAGAATGGATAATTTGTAGTTATCGTTTATAGAGATTAGGTGTATTAGGATGGTAGCATTAGGGGAAGTGAGTGTTTCCCTACACATTCAGAAATTCCCCAGTTGATGTAAAATCCTACTTCTTGATTTTACTTAAGAATAGTCACATTTAGTAAGGTAGGGTTACTTCTCCCCTCCCCCCCCATTTTCTTTTAGCCCAAAAAGATGGCTTGAAAATGGTAGAGAATCTTGAACCATCAGCACCCATGCTGGCTATTATTATGCCAGAAAACAAATCTATAAACATTCACAGCATTGAGCTGTTTTCACAAGACTTCCTCTCTAATAAACACAACACTTTCTCCTCCTCTCAGATGTAAGCCTGATGCCAGATGCAGAGGTGCCAACTGTAGGCGCGTTGCTGAGCGGAGGAGAAGCCTAGCAAGTTTGTCCAGCAAATTAGATTGCACAGTGGGCTGGCGTCTTTGTGGCCTTGGACGGGAAGCTGCTGATCTGTGCTCCCATGGCCCGAGGCAGGCGGAGGCTGGTGGCCCTGGGCAAGTGTGTAAAAGGGTCCTTGTGAGTTAGAACGAACTCAAGCAGAAACACAGGCTGATTAAAATTGGGGGCCTACATGACATGCTGGCTCTTTCCCTTAGAAAGTGTTGCATGGAGACCCTGTTTGCTTAGCTGATTTTCAGTTAGCCGCGTGGCTTGCCCTCCAGACTTGCCGTCTTCTTGCCTGCAACCAAGAGGGCCAGAGAGAAAACCTCCCCCATTTAGGACCGGGTTCAAAAGCCCCCAGAAACCTGTCTGCCTTCCCCTGTTTGCATGTGGTTAGGGACTGTGAATCAGAATTCAGAATCTGTGCTGCCCCGAGGGGACAGGCAGAAGCTCCGAAGAAATACCCAAATGCAATAAATAACATAGAGCTCAGGACCCTAGTCCCGCCCCTCCCCCAGCCACCGCCCCTGGTTATTCCCGGCTTTGAACCGACGGAACCGAGGGAGCAATTCCACCGCCAAGCCCCACCTGCACACCAAATGTGGGCATCCGGCTGCTGCTGCTTCTGCACAGGACAGAGCCTCAGTCTTTTGCTTCATAGCATCATTTATGGCATGAACTAGGATTGTAATGTGTTTACACAAACACACAATTGTACATCAGCATCTTTACAATATTAAAGGAGTCATATACAAGTCTACAGGCATTATATACAGGGTGCTGGCCCGGGTACCCCACCTACCAGTCCTCTGCATTTTCTCCATCCAGGAGGGGCCAGCACGTGGGGAAGTATGACAAGGCCCAAGGTGTCCATCTTTGGGCTTGCTGTCTGGGAGGTGGCAGGTCTATGAGGACCCCCTCAGGGCCAGTCCTCACTGGAATCTAGGGTCAAGAGCGCGAGGTATGCCCATGTCCAGTCTTACCGCCAGGCTAGTACAACACGTTTAACTAAAACTCAGTGTGCATATTAGTGTGGGAAAAACTGGAGCTAGTGGCCCTCTGGGGGTGGCTCCCTGAGCTGGGGACCCAGAAGATGCTGCCGACAGATGGGACCCTTTGTGGTGAGACCCATTCCTGAGGTAAGGTGCAGCCCCCACAGCGGGTCTGATGGGGACAGACTTCTCTAGGGGCCCAGGAGTGAGCACACACTGACAGGACTGGGAGCTCCTGTGCATGAGCAGGTCAGGTGACCTGCTGAGTGCAGCCTGAGCCCTGGAAGGCAGCAAAGAGAGGGTCTGAGATGGTTAGGTGGGCCGTCCGACCCTGCACCCTCCCCCAGCAGCCCCGTCCCCTACGGGCCTGGCTTCAGCTCCTGAAGCACTGTCATGCCCACATCCAACCCCCCAGCCCCAGCTCTGCAGGCACCTGGGCCTGAGCGCCCCACAGCTCATCCACCATGTGGGCCTGCTGCACGTCCGACTGAGAACTGAGCACCAGATGAAGAAGCGTTGGTCCTTGGAGGCCTTGCTGCCTTGTGCAGTGACAGTCACTTCCATTTTAAATACTGTAGAAAAATAAGCCATCTCTGACACAAGGAGACCCGCCGAGAGCCTGCCACGCACAGAGAAGGAGGAACAGCTGCTCTGCGATAGCTGGGGATGCCTCTGCTCGCTGTGCCTCGGCAGAGGACGCTGCACCTGACCACAGAGCCAAGGGACGCGGAGAGCCGGCAGTGGAGTTCTGGCCACGGCATCCGTGGTCACAGCAGTCCTTCGGTGGGCATGCCTCCAGCATCCCATGTTCTGTTGCCATGACACCCGGGGCCATAGTGCCCCCTGGGACGGCTTCCGACCCTCCAGCCCCAACCTCAGTCTCAAGCCCACTGCTAAGCTTGCACAGGCAGGACTCGCCAGCACTGTTTCCAGGTCTCTGGGAGCGGCCCCAGGGCCGAGGGGCCTCAGGCGGGCACTGAGGCAGGGCCTAGTCCAGGGGCTCCTGCTTTATCCGGACGGCAGTGGGGGTGGGCTGTGGTCGCCGCTCCTCTCGACAAAGCACGTACTCGCTGAACTGGGAGGAGTCCACGCCACCTCCACAGGACGCAGCCACGCTGAAACCCCTCTGGAAGAGCCTTTCCAAGACCTGCCAGGGAAGAAAGGGGGGTCAGCAGAGTTCAGCTGCGAAGTTTGCCTGGCCTGGCTGGTGGGCAGCTGGGCCCTAGCCAGAGCTAGCTACCTCGTCCACGTCCTCGTCCTGCTAAGATCTCAGCCTCACTCACTAACAAAGGTCCCTGCTTCCCCAAGGCCTGGGGTATACCACAGGACCGACAGGTGCAGCCAGACCCGGGGGGCCGTCGAGTTATTGGACCTGGGTGTGCTACTCCACCTGGGCTACCACCCTGCTGCCCTCAGGGCACACAGCCCCAGGGATTTGGAGAAGCAAAACGAGCCTTTGGGCTGCTTCTCTCTTCTCTAGGGCATAACCAGCACACACACGGCCCCAGGCACTCTATCAGTCTCTGGTCACAATAATGGAAAGCCTCTGCCCCCAGCCTCTGGGCAGCCACCTGCTTCCCTGAGCCACAGTCCCAGATGCTTTGTTGCCTGGGGGCTCATCAGCTCAAGGGAGCGCAGGGTAGAGAAACACAGGAGGGGTTTCCACAGTGTTTGAGTCTCTGCAGGCCTCCTGTTCAGGTGGGTTTGTGCCTCCGTGAGGGTGGGCTCTGGTCACTGTGTCTGACATCTGTATCTTCCAACTAGCAAGTTCTGACCCATAGCCAATGTGATGTGTGCCTAAGGGACCTTTTCCCCTGCAGTCCATTCTGACCTAATCCCAAAATACAAGCCTGCCTCCGGACATGGTGGCGTATGCCTGCAATCCCAGAACTCTGGGATGTTGAGACAAGAAGATCAAAAGTTGAAGTCCAGCCTGAGCAACTTTGTGAGACCCTGTCCCAAAATAAAAAACAAAAAGTTCTGGGGAGGTAGCTGAGTGCGCAAGTCCTAGGTTCAACCCCCAATGTAAGGGGAAAATGGAAAAAGTTTCCCCTTGTGTGTGGGCAGAGCTGTTAGAAAATAGACCACCATTCCATCTGAGCTTCTGAATCCTTTGACTCATCCAGAAATGCTCTAGGCCGTGGCTGGGTGCCTGCGGGCCCCAAGGTCAGCAGGGTGAGAAGGGGCTCCCGGCCTCTCTGTCCCACCTCTCCTGGCGCCTGAGTTTAATTTGAATCCAAAGTCAGACTCTGGGTGTCAAAGAAGCACACTTGGTTGAAAATACCCTGGGCCATTTTTATAGAACATCCTTTTGGGAAAAAAGAAAAAGTACAGATCAATTTTTTTAAGTCCATCCCCCAGGCTCCATCATTTAATTATGAGCGGGACATAAATTATGCATCGACACATTGTTGCCTTTTCTGTAAGATGGCACGGAGCGCTTCGCCATTTCAGGGACGGCGCCTCTGCCTCCCTCCTTGCTCGCTCTGCTCTGCGCTTGAAGGCGCAGCAGAGAAGCGCGGTACCCGGGGCCCATAGCCCTCACCTGCACAGAGTTGAGCCGGCAGTAGCCATTGAGAGGGAAGCGGATGACATGCGTGGGGTCTTGGTTCCAGCCAGCGTTGACCGAGTTGCACATGACGTCCCCGGTCTCGGGGAAGACCTCTTCAATGAGGGCCTTCTCGCCACTGAGCGCAATGCGCTCACCCAGGTCTGGCGTGACTCGCACCACCAGGCAGTCACAGGCGCGGCTGCGACGTCGCTGCTCCTGCTCCTGCTGCCAGCGCTCCAGCTCTCGCACCATGGGCTGCAGCTGGTAGTACCGTGCCTCCTCGTATAGTAGGCTGAAGTCCTGCAGACATGTGGACGTGGGGTTGAAGGGAGGGGTTTGTCCTCGCCACTGGGGGTGGGGATATCCCCTTTCTGCAGGAACTGTGACCCGTGCAAACTGGGATGGTTGTCCCCATTGTACAGATGAGCAGATGAGGCTCAGAAGGTATGCAAGCCTAAGGAATCCAGCTGCTGTCTGTTGTGCACCTATGCCCTTCCACCTGGCCCTAAGCACTGGGTGGCTTCATCCTCCTGGGGCAGAGAAGCTTTATGGAAAGACCAGGGAGCTACACTCCAGGAGGGAGAGGCTGTACCTATGCCTGGGACCTGCTGCCTTTGAGAATCCCACCCACACAAGATATCCAAGTGGGCATTCAGCCTTTACCCACCCTAGAAGAGCTCACAGCCCAGACTGAGACCAAAAAAAAAAAAAAAAAAAAAAGTCTGCAGGCAGCTCTACAGGAGTTGGAATTCAAGTATCACCTACCAGGTCCAAGAACCATGAAACTCATTGAACCTTCCTTGAGCCTCAGTTTCCTCCTCTATAAAATGATATAAACATCCAACTCAGAGGAGGACAGTGAGGATTAAAGGGGCCCTGCCCCTTCCCAAGCAAGCACAGGGTATGACAAAGTGTCCCAGGAGGCCACCTCTCAGCAGGCAGTCTATACCTAGGCTGGGCAGGATCACACAAACTGTCCTTCAGCTCTGATACTGGCCCCTAGACAAGTACATGGCAACTTACATCAGCTCCAGCCCCAAGGGGCCTGAGCCTCTGACTCATGCCACTGTTTGGGGGTTGACACACAGTGCTGGCTGGTAAGCCTGAAGGACCCTGGAGGAAAGGCAAGAGAGCCCATTCCCAAAATCAAGGGCCACCCCACAGGTCCTAAGTCCCTTCTAGCTGCTGTCTCTGTCCTTTGAAACTGCCCCAAGGGGAGCTCATGCCCTCCCCCTCTTCTGGGCCTACTGCCAGTCAGGGAGCACTCCTGACTCTATGCGGAGATTCTCAGGGCCCTGTCCTGGCCTGTGCTCTCCTCACTCTCATCAGCTCCTAGAATCTTACATGACATCCGTACACCAAACAACTCATCTTTCCTCACAACCAGGGATACCTTCAGGTGACCCTCCACCAGCTCCTTCCATGAAGGAGCGGGACACCAAATGTCCCCAGCCTCTTCCATTTGACTCAGGTCTCAAGCTAAAAGCTGGGAGCACCCTCCACAATCCCATTCCCCTGCCAATCCGCACCCATATCCTCTCTCTAAAAGCAAGTCCCTGCCTTGCTCCAACTCCTCCGCCTTGACCCTGGTCCAAGACATTCAACAAACATACCTGGGCCTGGGAAAGTGGCCCCTTCCATAACTGGCCTCCTGCTCACTCCCCTGTGCTACCTGCATCCTTATCCACCCAAGATCCAGTGCAGTCTTTCCTACTGGAAAATCTGATTATTCTTATCTTACTCACAGCCTTCCCAGTGCCTGCAGGGTAAAATGCCAAATGCTGAGCCTCTCATCAAGGTCTTGACATCAAACAGCAGCCTCCCTTCCTGCCTGTCCCTTCGTGGTTCACAAGACCCCAGACCGGACCCCTCTTCAGTGCTGGAATGAACCAAGCCCTCGGCCACCTCCACCTTCTCACCAAGGCTCATACACCTATCTGCCCTGTTCCTCTGTCACCACCCGGCAAAACGTCCTTTCATCGAGACCCTCCCAGCCAGGTTCCCCAGTCACTCGCAAATCCTCACTATTCTCTGACCGCCTGGTCCCTTGTAATAATCACGGTCAACAACTGTCTTCCCACAGACTGTAAGCATCGTGGGGCAGGACCCACGTGCGTCCCTGTGTAGTCAAGTTCGGTTGTCAGCACTCAGTAAGTGAACTGGGTGAAGGAACTAAAAGAGCTCCAGGGCTACTGCTCCTCCGGGTGGCTGCAGGAAGGAAACAGGAAGCAAAGAAGGAAGGACAGACATATGCTAGCAGGAGCCAGAGCAGCCCAAGCCTGAGTTTTCTTTCTCCCGTGAGTCCCGGTCCTTGGAGGGACTCAGAGGAAGGCAGGAGGAAGGAGCCAGATGAGCTGCCCAGAGGCTCACCCTGAGATCAGGGCTGACCTTCTGTTTAAAAGGTGTATGTCTGGACCATCAGTGCTTTCCCCCAGCAAATTCCCAACAAGGAACAGATTTGCGAACCTCTAACTTCTGTAACTCCAGCACGCAACAGTCTTAAAACATGACAAACATTAAACTGGGGTAAGTGCTGCAGCTTAATTGTTGTTACACCCTGATAAATAAGCTAAAAATGTGAGAAAACAAAATTAGTTTAGAAAAACTGATTTAGCCCTCGGCTTCATCGTTTAACTTTTTGTGGTTGCCATGACGACCATGGGTCCATTTATTAAGTCACAACGTCCCTTGTGTAATGCCATGGCACAGGCAGCACGGGGGGAGCTGCCGGCTGAGGACTTACCTTGAAGTCATCCGGGAGCAGCAGTTTGGACGTCCGCAGGAAGCTCAGGACATAGCGGAAAATCTCTCCATCCCGGTCAATGAAATAATGTTGCTTCAAACTGTCCAGAACGATGGGTTCAGTGCCATTAAAGAGGCGGCTTATTCTGGGAAAGACAGGCAAGGTGGACGGAGGAAGGAAGTGGCTCGGTTCAAGTGCCCTGTCCTCAATCCTTAGTGCCCACCCTGCTGGAAGGGCCACACTTGGGCAATGTGGAGACCATGCCAGGTCTGACAGCTCTCTGCACAAAACTGGGCCAGACCACTGTCACACGGCATGAGAGCAGTCACAAGCACACGCTACCCACACACACAGTCCACAGTGGGACAGGGACACACCCAGCCGTATATACCAGCTAGCTGACGTCGTACAGGGTTAGAAAACTATAGCAAGGCAGACATGGTGATATAAACCAGTCATGGAGCTGGTACATGTGTCCTCACCAGACGGACCCATCCAAAAACTGCGCGCCAACCACCCAGTACCCCAGCCGACAGCCACATATCTGATGAACATATGTAAACCAGCCAACACAGTTACTGGGGTCACATAATCTTCTCACTCAACCCATGTCACTAAGCAATCAGACACACACTGAGGGAGCAGGCACAGGTCACCTGGTCTACAACTCATAGATCTTGCAACTCACAGATCTTAAGCAGCCAGACACAACTGAGAAAGATACACACCAGTTCCCACAAGCCACCCAGAGATAGAAAGTCACAAATACCCCATTACCATTCAGGGAGATACAGAAGGAGGTGGAAGGGACAGTAGATGTGCATGTGTGCCACAATACACACACACAATAGTGCACTGTACACACACCAAGCATGTGAACACAAGTCCATGCTACAGCACACGCATTCATACATGCCACACCATGTGCATACCTGTGGGGACCAGGACTAGAAGGAAAGACGGCTGCCAGCACCACGTCCTTAGAAGGACAGTGGCTCTAACAAATGCAAGAAGTTCTTGGGGACCCCCTGATTCCAGTCCCTACCCATTCCAAGGAGCAGGAACCAAGCCTCAGAGCCAGGGCTTATTCATCCCCAAAGTCCAGGGCAGTGGGCTCTGATGTGATCACTAGCCTTGCTATCCCAGGCTGAATCAGAAATCACAAAGAGGGCTTCTAAGCCACGATCTTGGCTCAGCAAGCGGAAGGATGTTGGCAGTGTCTCCCCAGTGATGGCACTACCAGACCTTCTCCTTGGGTGACAGGACCACATACTCATGCCCAGCTAGACCCTGCCAAGCCAGCAACTTGCCTGCAAGCTTGGGAGAAAGAAGGCCTGACGTGGGACTACCAGCTTAGCTTGCAAAATGCCACTCTGCCTGCACCAGCCTACACCCTTCCCGAGATGTTCCCTTGGTCCCCACAGCAGCCCACACCGTCCATTCTAAGACAGCCTCTCCCAAGGCTCTGCCCTACTACCGTCACTGTATACCCAGGGCACATTAGCTGGACAGAAGCCGCAGGCTCACAGCCCCCAAACCCTTCTTAGGACCTCCTAACTACACCATACTATGCTCTGGTGGCCTGGCACACTCAAGGAATCAGCCATGTGGATTTGCCCGGTACAGAGTAGTTATGTAGTCACCTGTTCTCATTCTGGAGACATGGCCCAGCCCCTGTCTCAATGGGGCAAGATAAAGGGCAAGGCTGCCCTAGGGATGGGCATGCACAGGTTGGGCCAGAGGTGAGGTATGTAGAGGCTTAAGCTGTTGGAACCAGAACAGTGACCACCCAGATACTTCTCAGGGCTCCAAAGGCCACTGAGCCCATCAACCTCCCCAGCGTGGTGACAGTGGTCCCTTAGGACATAGTCCCTGTTGGAAAACCTTGTGGGTTCCATGATTTATTGCAGCTTTCAAAGTGGCCAAGGCCTGGATAGAACTTGGACGTTTAAGGCTGGGCATGGTGGGGCCTGCCTGTAATCCCAACACTTGGGAGGCTGAGGCAGAAGGATTGCTGCGAGTTGGAGGCCAACCTGGGCTACAAAGTGAGTTTAAGGCCAGCCTGAACTGCACAGTGATACCCTGTCTCAAAAAGGCAGAAAAAAAAAAAAAAAGAACTTGGACATTCAGCTGTCAGAGCAAGGGCCATTCAGCATCTCTGGAGACAGATACGGCTAAGCAAGGCCATCAGGTGCCATGGGCAGTGGCTGACAGTCAGATGAAGGTCCACACACAGCACTGGCAAGAAGAAGTAAGGGCCACATCCACAGGTGAGTCAGCAAATCCGAAGCCTCAGCCTGCCTGGGAACTCTCCCCACCTTTCCTGGCTGAGCTCAAACTCTCTGTGCAGCAAGCAATGTGCTTGGCCTGGCTGAGTTCCAAATCCCTCTGATGTCAGGGCTGGCTGGGGCTCCAGAGTGTCCTGTTGGTCTAGAGGACCCTGGATCTACCCACGCCTTGCTGGTTCTAGATCTTTTCATGGTTCAGGATCTCACGCAGGACCAACTGGCAGCTGGGCATCTCCACGTAGCACAAAGGCCTCACATGCCCCAGCATCGGAGCCTACCAAGGATGTCGGCAGGCTGAGGGAGCATTTGAAAAATCACCAGGAAGGACCCTTCACCTCTTGCAGGGCCTTAAGAACAAGCTCTGCCATAACATCCTGGGTTCTGTTGGTGGCTCCCTGTGTCCCCGTGAAAATAGCCACAGGCCACCCTTTGAGGGGAGGCTGCGGGGTGTGGGAGAGCCAACTTCAGAAGTCCTCCGTGGACAAAGTGGATGAGTTCACATTTTGGCAGCTGGGACCCTCAGGGGGCAGAAAAGGCACAGTCCCACCACTAGGCTCTGGTGTAAAAGGAAGGCATCTTCATCTTCTTTTTTAAAAGCTCTGACTCCAGTTTCCCGGATGTTTAGTGTAAGGTTTTATTAGTTCTGAAGCTCCTGGCCATTTCCGCCTGTTGCTCCTCACAGCCAGGATGGATGTCAGCGTGGGGCTGTGCTGGTGGCAACCAGGTGACGTCTAGCAGGCAGGACAAAGGGGAGAAGCAGAGTCCACTGCCGGCCCCAGATAGCTGTGCTGGGTGAGGATCAATCGCTCCTCCAGGGGACCTGCCACTAGGCCTTCTGCACCCAAGCCGCTTGGATGAGCCAAGAACAAGAGGCTGGGCACAGCGCTGTGGGCACAGGGACCTGGGGGATGGGTCCCCTGGCTCTCACAGTACTGCCTGGGGGTGGCAGTGGGGAGCAACGACATCCAGAAACCCTCTGGGTGAAAGATTGATCTATTTTTCCAGAACTGTTGAAAAATAGTTTTACGTTATAACAACCCAGTAAAAGAAGAACAAGAGATATCTAAGGGGCCCTCTCTAGCACAGCTCTGCAATCCACTTCTCAGACCCCATCTGACCCCTGTCCTCTGACTGTCCCACAGGTCATGACAGCCCCTAGCCTCTAGGCCAGAGCTGCAGGCTCTATAATGAACCAGAAGCAATCCATGCAGAACAACAGATTCATCTTGAGCCCCAGCCCTGGGAAAGAATGCAGACTGCCAACCCCTCTGGGCACATCCTGCCGGCTGAGGGTCCCACTTGACAGATCATGGGGCCACGGGAGGCTCAGTTCCCCAGCAAGACTATATACTCCACTGCAAAGCAGGGCAAGGATGACCACACTGTGGCCTGGGAGGGGAAGAGCACCCCTCCCCTCCCCACTCCCAGACAGCTGCCCGGAGACAAAATAAGCAGGAAGCCCTCTTATCTCCCCCTAGGCCTGGGCTGTGATTGCTCCAAAAAGGCGAATGTCTGATTTCAGGAAACATTCTTCCAAGACGGTTGTGGGCAAAGATTTTATGAATCTCACTCACAAACATCATCAACCGATTAAAGAATGATCTATCTCATACAACTCAGGAATGCTGCAGAAGGCAAAACTGAAATTAAATAAGCGGAATCCATCTCCCATCCTAGACAAGGCTCTGCAAGCGAGTACACAGGCCGACACGGCCCGTGGTTTCTGTCCTTCCCAAGTCCCAAGTTCGTAAGGCACCACATGTAGTCTGTCAGGCTGAGGGCGCGAAGCCCCAACCACCAGCTATACCCCAAACTCCGAACAAGAATGTGGAGGGCACGCCTCTGTCCCTGCAGAGGGCTCCACCTGGCCCTGAACAAGCTCCGAAAGCAGCCTGCCCCATGCACTGTAACCTGTGGTCTGAGCAACCACACCAGTGACAAGGTAGCCCAACACACAAGCTCCCCAGAGATGATCACCTGGTGTCTAGGGGATTAATTAGTTCTTCTTCTTTTAAATGTATAAAACCAGGGTGATGCCCTACAGCCTTGGCTCTCCCACTGCTCAGCCCTCAGTGGCCCCAGAGAGTGGTGGCCATAGCTCTGCCATGCCTGGAACAAGCAGTCGCAGGCTGAGCAAGCAGCACGGTGCTCCAGGAGATGCTCAGAGACACGGCCTTGCTCCGTCAGCCCTGCTGCCGTGCCAATAGGAATCCTGGTCCACCCTTAGGACGGAAACGTCCGAGACAACAGCAAAGGAGTCAGCAGCACCCAGCGCCTCGCTTGGGCCAAGAGTCAGGGCAGCCCACCATCAGCAGCGTGGGTGCTCGCTCCTGGGAAGGGGACTGATCGCAGACACTTTATCTACGATAGGGCATGAGCCTCATGCTCAGCTCCTGCCCCAGATATTCCTGAATGTCTTGGAATACCCAGCTAGTCACTGTAACAGCTATCTCCGAGGGACTCCTGCTAGCCCTTTGTGCCTGGCAGTGGCCAAACAAAGAGGGAAAACTGCAGCTCCTCCTCCCTTCCCTTATGCACATCCATAACAGGAAACAAATTAAATATTCACACACCTCTGTGTGTGTGCGCGCGCGTGTGCGTGTGCGTGCGACACAAGATGTACTTAGCACCCTTGGCTCACAAGTGATGCCCTGCAGAAGCCAGGCTGAGTCTTACTCAGGAGGATCCTGAAGGTTCATGAGATTTCCCAGCTAGCTGCTGGCCAGGCTCAGGGAGGGCTGGCTCTGAACAAGTCTAAGCCTCTGCCAGTAGGTTGTGTGCTACTCCTTGCAAGACCAGTGCCACTGATACAGGGTTACAAGCCCCATTTTCAAGCTTCTTTCAGCAGACAAACTCAGCTTCCCAAGCCTTAGCTCCCAGGTTCTGCATCAGCCTGGACATGCTGGAGAGAGCACTGCGCGGCAGCCAGCATGGGAGACAAGCCCCGCTGCATCTGGCTGCAGATGCTACTCCTTACTGCCACAGGCCTGGCTCTTGGAGGGCTTGCTCTTACCTGGAGTCAGGGTATTTGGTGAGTGTGGCCAGGCTGCTGGTATACATGTGGCCGCCCACATCGATGTGCACAGGTGCGTTGGACTTGGTGAGCTGAGCTGGCAGTGGGATCCCCTGGGCAGCCAGGGGAGACACGGGCGACCGGGTGAGAGACAGCCGGGACATGTTTCCTCCCTCCTGGAGACACAAACAAGGCAAGAGACACAATAGTTTTCCAACAACACAGCCATGCACTCCCTTTATTGTCAGTGTGATCACAGATCTAATCAGATCACTTCTGCCTGTGCCTGATCACATATTCAGCTGACAAATTATGGCCACCACTGTAATTAAGTGTATTTGCATCATTTTCTTCAAAGTACCAGGGGGAAAAAGAAAGATGCTTATTAGCAATAAGAAATCAAGAAAAAAAATTTTCAAGGTGTCAGCCTCCAGGGGCATAAAACAAACTGCAAAATTCTAATTAAAGGTCGCGGGCTTATGTGTTAGATGTGAAATATCCCCTGACAAACGAATCACCAATTTGTGAATTGGGATTCAGGGGTTTTTGCAAGTTTGTCTCTGTAACAAGACACCTCTAAATTAGTGACTTCCTCAGCACCTAAGGCGTTGGGTTTTATACATGTAGTAAATTTCACATTAAATTAAGAGCATTTTTGTTTCAAAAAATACATAATCACACAGCCAGTCAACAGTCATCTCTTGAGTGCTGGGGCTGAAGAAAGGGCAGCCAGTGAGCAGGCATCCCGGAAGAGGGCAAGGAGGGGGCAAACAGCGCTGACGCAGCCCACCCTATAGGCTCACCGCGGTGCCAGCGCTGCCGTGTGTGTGAAGCGAGGACCCACTCGGCCGCTCCTTACGGTGAGGCATCTAGGCTTCCATCGCTGCCCAGAGTATCTGTGGGAGGTGGCAACAAAACCAGAGGGGACTTACTCCTCAGCAGTGGTGGGTGCCGGGTTTTCCCTGGAGTCAAACATGCTTAGATTTTTCCTTTCTTGTCGAACCGCGGGAACCCACGAGCACCAGGCAGCCCTCCCAGATTCCACCCACCACTACCCTTGACTCCACACCCCAAAGCAGACCTCCCAGGCATTGCTTATTGTGCGTGCGGGCACGCGTACACACACACACACACACTCACTCACTCACTCACTCACTCACTCACATATGTGTTTTCTGGGCAGCTCCATGTCTGCTAATTTGGCTAATGACAGTACTGAAACATATGCTCACCATTATTGCCCCGAAATGTTTCAGAACAAATCTGATTTTCCTGGTATTTTGGTTTAGAGCCATGTTACCAAGCGTGTCTCCTCTTGCATCAGCAGAGAACCTTGTGGACTGCAGCTCAAGAAAGATCCGCCACCCTCTAGGGGCCAAGGAGCCCTGGGTCTCTCTCCACTGTGTCAAAATGCAGTTTGCAAGTGGTGGGACACAGGAAGCCTCTTTCAGCGGGAGCCAAGGCACAGAATGGAGGGAAAGTCACTCCGGAAGCTACCTCTCCTCTGTGGCTCTCAATAGCAGAGAAAACCTGTCTTTGTTTGCCTAGTCTGCACCTCCCAGTTTCCCTGCAGACCCCGAGGATGGAGTTGTCTGCGCCTAATGTATTCCAGACCCCCTCAGGATCACACACCCCGGAGGCATTAGAGAGCTGGCCAGACAGCCATCAGCAAATGGACCCTCCCCCCTTCCCAGGGCTACTTTCCTCTGTGCCACTGCCACCTGAAATAAAATTGCCCCCTCACTCCCAAGAAGCCACCCCCAGGGCACTTCGCAGGGTCCAAGCAGGAAGGTTAGAAAGTGGCAGGTTTCTGCATCCCCTTCCACTGACTTGGGCTATCTCAAAGGGGAGGGAGGGAGGCTCTGCACACACACGCGCACACACACACACACACACACACACACACACACACACACACAAGGGTTCCACAAACCTGACTCGGACTTCCCTCTCCTAGGTTTAACCCTTGGAGAGCAACCAAATGACATAATGACATCCTGGGGCCCCAGGAGACTGCTTTCTCCTCTTAAACTCTGGCTTCTAAATTTGTGCCTTGAAATTCAATATCCAATTTTAAAACAAGGTTCAAGCAGAGTCCAATCCTGTAAACGTTAAGTAGGCTTTCTCGAAGAGATGTGTTCCACCTGCAGAGTCCTGGCAAGTTCCTTGACCTGAAACTATTTGGGGTGGGGGTAGGGCTTATACCCTCACCGGGGGCTGGCTGCTTTTGGCATTCCTGAGTTCCGGAAAGCTTAAAAAAGAAAACCAGGTCGTTTATCTCAAAGAAGTTCTGAGAAACCAAAACAGACCTCAGGAATGGATTATCCTGCCCTGGGAGGCTCTGCTGGGGGAGGAGTCAGAAGGGAAGACACCGAGGGTAAACTGAACTGGAAGGAATTCCGCCTGAAATTCTATCAAAGCCTGCTGCAGGATGTTTTCCCCACTACCGGGACACAACTCCAAAGTGACACCTAACACCAAGCCCCCATCACCTAACTGCTCCATGCTGTTCACACGCAGCGTCTTTCCCATCAAAAGCACAACCTCAGGATGGCAAACCAGAAACTCACCATTGGAAGCCCCAGGCGTTACGCCTCCACCCGAATCTCCACTGCTCCCTCGGACAAACGCATCTGTGCCGGTCAACCTTCTCCCAGAGACCACTCCTGAGGGAGGTCAGAAGCATAAAAGTGGACACGGTGACCAACAGCATCAAACCAAGACCCAGCCCCAACCTCAGCCCAGAGCGCACCAGCCCTCCCAAGGCTCTACCAAGCTGCCTGTTGCAGGGGCTCAGGGGCCCACAGGTTTGCAAACGGCCCAGCATTGACCCGCTTCTCTAAGCTGCGGTAGAAGCCCCGGGTCCCGAGCCCGCCCCGCAGCCGAGCCCCGCCCGCCCGAGCAGAGGGAAGTGAGCAGAATGCCACGCTCATTTACACACAAAATGATTTTGTGTCCCATTGTGCTCGCAGTTGTTCAGCTCTCTGGGGGTGATTAAACTGGCTGAGCTGCGGCAGCTTGAGACGATTTCACTAAATCGCTTCTTCATGAAGTCGCTTCTTTGCTAAGCTGTTATTTTAACCATAAAAGGTAAACAGAAGGCGCCTCTCAAGCTCCCTTTCAGCTCCACGCCCTGGGCGCTGGCCCAGGGCGAGAGTGCCAGGAGCCTGCAGAATTGTCCAAGGGTGGGCCAGGAGGAAGGCAGGCAGGCCCGCCACCTGGTGCGCGCCAGTCCCGCCGCCGAGCCGCCGGCCGCCGGCCGGTGTGAACTTCTGGGCCGCAGGAGCCGGTTGGGCCGAAGCTCTAGGCGCCACGGGGTGGGAGAGCCGAGGCACCCCAAGCGCCTGGCAGGGAAGGGAGGGGTGTGCGGCGGGGGCGGGGACAAAGTTAAATCAAGAGGCAGACACTTCGAGACCACAGATGGGAAGCTCGCCTAATTAAGGACGTAAAAGCGCTTTTGTTCTCAAAGTTTATTGTTGCCAGGATTTAAAAAAAATTAATTGAAACTAATGCTTTTATTCACTCGTGCAGTTAAATTCCTTCATGCACATTTGAGACACCGAGTGAAAACTTGAGGCTTTAATCTTTCTGCAGTCGGGGGCTTCAGGAGGACAGAAAGGCGCTGCGGTGACGGGCGGGGGGTTGGTGGGGAACACTTGCGGGTGGGTGCCCGGCGTGCGCATCCAGGTCAGGGGTGCGGGTGGGCAGCAGAGAACCGGAGGCAGCGATCAGGTGGGTCTCAACCCTGCCCGCTCCTGGCCCCCCACCCGCGCGCCTGGGACGACCACCAGCGCGCCAGCCCCTCCCGCCTGGCTTTGGACTCGCGGGGTGGGCGTCTGAGGACGCACATCTGTCCCGTTAGAGACTTTTTCTTTCTCTGTTTTGGGCGCCAATCCGGCCCCTGTGCACATAGCAGTCCAGCTGCGACAGCCCGTTTCTGACCCCGGAAACTCGCCGGCTCTGCAGGGCACTCGGCCCGGTACTGGGGCCAGAGCGCGGGGAGCTGCGGACAACACACAGCGCGGCAGGAAGCTGGGAGCCCGCCCGCGTGGGGAGGGTCCACCCGCGCCCAGGACCAGCCCACGTGGGCACCCCCCCCGCCAGGCCTTTGTGCTGGGCGCCCCCGCGCCGCCAGTCCCTGCCGCCCAGCAGAGGGACAAAGCAGCCGCCCCCGCCCAGGTCCGGACCCTGGCCGGGCGACTTTCTCCGTTTTGCAGCCACTTTGGGGACAGGGGTACGCGGCGGTGAGCGCTGGCCGCCCGCGCTGGGCTTACCTCGGAGCCGGAGCGG